GGAAGGAGTGAAGGAGTGAAGGAAGGAGAGAAGGAGTGAAGGAGTGAAGGAGTGAAGGAAGGAGTGAAGGAGTGAAGGAGTGAAGGAGTGAAGGAGTGAAGGAGTGAAGGAAGGAGTGAAGGAGTGAGTGAAGGAGTGAAGGAGTGAAGGAGTGAAGGAGTGAAGGAGTGAAGGAGTGAGTGAAGGAGTGAAGGAGAGAAGGAGGGAGTGAAGGAGAGAAGGAGTGAAGGAGTGAAGGAGTGAAGGAAGGAGTGAAGGAGTGAAGGAGTGAAGGAGTGAAGGAAGGAGTGAAGGAGTGAGTGAAGGAGTGAAGGAGTGAAGGAGTGAAGGAGTGAAGGAGTGAGTGAAGGAGTGAAGGAGAGAAGGAGGGAGTGAAGGAGGGAGTGAGTGAAGGAAGCTCAAAGAAAAAAGAAAAGCTTAGTTTAGGTTTAAATTAACTCAACTTTTACTGTGAATTTTTTACATTTATAAACATTTTGTAAAATTTTAAGGATTATTTTAATATTTATTTATAAAATCCAGTTTAAAACTTTTAAAACTTTTGTTTGTTTAATAAATAAAAGGTGTTTTGATTTTATATTTGTTGTTTTTAAATGTGGTTTGAATCGTACCGTCAGTCATCAGAGCCAATCAGCACCACAGGAAGTTTGTTCGTCCCGTCACAATAAAAGCTTTCAGTCAATAAAGATGATTGTGTGGATGTGAGAACCAGAACCGGGTCTCTGCTGTTTGGATCAGTGGTTCTGATACAGTTCAACAAGTGGACCCCCTCCTTCCTGTAAAGTGCCAGGGCCTCAGCAGGTTCTGGTTCTGGTTCTGGTTCTGGTTCTGCTGCAMGTCTAACAAAGGTTTTAGCAGCAGGATTGTCTCTGAAAATCAGTTCTGTTTTTCTTCTGACTTCCTGTTTCAATAAAGTTTTTATTTTGAAAGTTTAATCATGTGAAAATCCAGATGTTTCCTGTGTGAGTCTTTAGTTTGTTTTCTTTACTGAAGTCTTGTTGAGTTGTGTTGTTGTGTTGTTGTGTTGTTGTGTTGTTGTGTCTGAACTCTGATTTGTTTTATTTCTAATAAAGAGCAGGAGCTGCTGCTGCCTGACCCGTGTGTTTCTGAGCTCGTCAGTCCTGTCCTGATCCGTCTGGTTCTGTCTGCTGGCCCAATGGATCCGTTTGGTTCTGACCCAGAAAACCCTGAGAAGACTCAGAGTGCAGCGTGCTGATTGGCTGTCACAGCATGACATCATCAGTAAACAGCAGCCTGTGCTCTGGTCACTTCCTGTTTGTGTCCGATCAGCAGTTTGTGAAAACCTCAACAAGTCCTGAAGATAAATCTGTTCAGGTCAGTTAGAGACCTGTTGGACCTGTTGGACCTGTTGGGCCTGTTGGGCCTGTTGGACCTGTTGGACCTGTTGGACCTGTTAGACCTGTTTGACCAGTTGGGCCTGTTGGGCCTGTTAGACCTGTTGGACCTGTTAGACCTGTTTGACCTGTTGGACCTGTTGGGCCTGTTGGGCCTGTTAGACCTGTTGGACCTGTTAGACCTGTTTGACCTGTTTGACCTGTTGGACCTGTTTGAACTGTTGGACCTGTTAGACCTGTTGGACCTGTTAGACCTGTTTGACCTGTTTGACCTGTTGGACCTGTTTGAACTGTTGGACCTGTTAGACCTGTTGGACCTGTTAGACCTGTTT